AAGATGAAGCAATAGACACATTCAAGCAATACAAAAATGAAGTTGAAACGCAACTTAATAAGAAAATCAAAATGATAAGAAGTGATCGGGGTGGTGAATATGAATCTCCTTTTGAACAAATATGTTAAGAATATGGAATTATTCATCAAACAACGGCCCCTTACACGCCCCAATCCAACGGGATTGTAGAAAGAAAGAATCATTCATTAAAGGAGATGATGAACGCATTATTGATAAGTTCTGGTTTGCCACAGAACTTGTGGGGGGAAGACGTTCTTACGGCTAGCCGAATACTAAATCGAGTACCCCATAGCAAAACACAATCCATTCCATATGAAAAATGGAAAGGAAGGAAGCCCAACTTGAATTATTTTAAAGTGTGGGGGTGTTTGGCAAATGTGCGAGTTCTAAACCCAAAAGGGTAAAAATAGGACCGAAAACCGTTGATTGTGTTTTCATAGGATATGCGACTAATAGTAAAGCATATCGATTTCTAGTTCATAAATCAGAAAATCCCGACATTCATAATAATACGGTTATAAAATCAAATAATGCTGAGATCTTTGAAAATATATATCCGTATCAAAAGGAATGTGAGTCGATTGGTGAAGGATCTAAACGACCTCGGGAAGAAACAAAAGAAAGTACACTTAACCAGGAGGATCCAAGACGTAGTAAACGTCAAAGAACATCTACTTCATTTGGACCGGATTTTGTGACTTTCTTATTGGAAAATGAGCCTCAAACATTTAAAGAAGCTATGTCTTCTTCGGAATCATTGTTATGGTAAAGAGGCAGTCAATAGTGAAATAGAATACCATATGTAACAACCAATACATGGGAATTGGGTTGTATCTTCCTCCTGGAAATAAACCGTTGGGTTCTAAATGGATCTTTAAGAGGAAGATTAAAACTATTGACAAATTTAAGGCAAGACTTGTGGTCAAAGGGTATAGACAACGAGAAGGTCTTGACTATTTTGCTACATACTCTCATTACAAGAATTACGTCCATACTAATGTTAGTAGCGTTAGCTGCAGTTTATGGTCTTGAAATTCATCAAATGGATGTTAAGACGGCCTTCTTAAATGGAGAGTTGGAGGAAGAAATCTACATGGAATAACCTGAAGGGTTTGTGGTTCCAGGTAAAGAAAAGAAGGTCTGTAGACTTGTTAAGTCCCTTTACGGATTAAAACAAGCACCCAAACAATGGCATGCGAAATTTGACCAAACAATGTTGTCAAATGGATTTAAGATAAATGAATGTGATAAATGTGTGTACATTAAAAATGTTTCAAATCACATAGTCATTGTTTGCTTATATGTGGATGATATGCTCATAATGAGTAATGACATTGCCAACATAAATGCTACTAAGCGTATGCTAACTAGCAAGTTTGATATGAAAGACTTGGGAGTTGCTGATTTAATTCTGGGAATTAAGATCCATAAGACTTCTCAAGGTCTAGCATTGTCACAATCTCATTATATTAAGACAGTACTTGAAAAATTCAAGCACTTGGGCTTTAAAGTTGCAAAGACTCCAATTGATGTGAATCTTGCATTAGCAAAGAACAAAGGCCAGAGCATATCATAATTGGATTATGCTCGTGTGTTGGGTTGCTTAATGTACATCATGAATTGTACACGACCAGATATAGCTTGTGCTATAAGTAAATTGAGTCGATATACGAGCAATCCAGGCCAATCTCATTGGATGGCCATGAAACGAGTTTTGGGGTATTTAGTACATACCCAGGACTTTGCTTTGCACTACAATAAATATCCTGCGGTCATTGAGGGATACTGTGATGCAAATTGGATCACCGGATCAACTGATTCCAAGTCCACAAGTGGATATGTATTCACTATTGGTGGAGGAGCGGTATCTTGGAAGTCATCCAAACAAACTTGTATTGCCCGCTCTACAATGGAGGCTGAGTTCATAGCCTTGGATAAAGCCGGTGAAGAAGCTGAATGGCTCCGGAATTTCTTGGAAGATATTCCATTTTGGCCCAAACCGTTGGCACCAATATGCATACATTGTGATAGTCAAGCGGTAATTGGAAGGGCTGGGAGCGTTATGTATAACGGTAAGTCTCGTCATATACGACGAAGACATAAAACCGTTAGACAATTACTCTCTAGAGGAATTATCACGATTGACTATGTAAAGTCAAGTGATAATGTGTCGGATCCACTTACAAAAGGCCTAACTAGAGAGGTAGTTGAGAAGTCATCAAGGGGAATGGGACTGTGGCCGAGAACAAGTCATAGTGGCGGTAACTCCACCTAGAAGACTGGAGATCCCAAGATCTAGGTTCAAGGAGATCAAACAAAGTCATTTATGACGGTTCAACATTGTCAACTAAACTTTTGGTCCATTCTCGTGATGAGACAATGTTCAGTACCAAGGATAAAGCATTAAGGCTTTTTAATGATTTCTAAATTTGATACGGGGTATATCAAATAGTGTATCTACGGGATGACACGTTTAGGAATCACCTATGTAAGTGTGAAGTGTTAGCCGCTTCAAGGAGAACATTGTAATGCTTCAAGGAGAACATTGTAAGGCCAGTTCTCTACGCACTTATGAAACCAGGCGGTGTTCATGGCTGAAACGAACACAACAATGAGAACCAAAGACGGTTAAGGGTTGGTTGTGTGACTTATGGTTGTCTAGGTATACACTAAAGTTCGACGGTTCAAAGATATCAAATCTACCGCTTGATCGAGTATATCCGACATAAGTTCACTACGGAAAGTTCAAAGGGAAACCTACTTATCCAGATGCAATTAATCCTTACTTGCGAATCACACAGTTTTTCATGCATACTTCCGTGATATAGCTATTCCCCATTCATGTGGGGGATTGTTGAGATTTGGATGTATTTAATTAATATATATTAAATACTTAAAAGAGGTTGAATGGGAAATGGAGATAAATAAAATTTTTGAGTGAAATTTTAAGTTCCCCCCTCCCCCCCTTGACAAATGGGCATTGTCCCATATTGGAAGAAGAAGAGGTTTTTTATGGGTATAAGCAATTGCTCTTCTTCTAGCTCTTAAAGAGTTGAGAAGAAGGCAAGCCTCGCGCCGTCGTCGTCGTCGCTCGCTCGGCTCGGCTCGGCTTCGGCTTCGGCTTCGGCTTCGGCTTCGGCTTCGGATTTGGATTCGGATTCGGATTTGGTCAATTGATTGATTGATTAACTTTTTGGACCAAATTTATTTGTTAATAGTAAAATATTAACAGAAATGTTATTAAATATTTATTTTAATAACAGAATATTAATATTAAATATTAATATTAAATCCAATCCGTTTTTCTGTTTTGGTAACAGAAAAGTAACTACCCTCTTCAATTTTCCCTCTTTATTATTGAGTAAATGGCCATTTATGTAATGGCATTTATGCTTTGGGCGTTTTGCATAAACAGTCATTCTGAAGAGTTGCACCTCTTCAGATTTCAGCCCAACTTTGGCTATAAATACAACACTATTCTGCTCAGAATTTCACTACGATTTTCTGAGTTTTCTCTCCTTCTTCTGCATACTTTTAGCATCAAACAAAGTAAAAAGTAAGTGTGATTTGCTACCGAACTTTGTGTTCGCTGAAACACTGGGGTTTGAAGTACCACTACACCAGTGTGTAATTCGTTCTATCCTGGGAGGAAATAATCCATAACCTTGGGTACTAGGAGGGGATTAAATTCCTTAAGGAAACACTGTGAATTCAGTGGGCTCGAATTGGTTTTATGTCATTTCTGTTTATGTTCATTTCTGTTTATATTCATTTATTTTTCCAGAATTATTTTACAAATACAGTCTACTAACACTTTTTACACAATAGCGTGCTGACAATTGATCTTTTTTGTTAAAGTCAAGCTCTTGAGAGTCTTAAGGTCTTAAACATTGTTCTAATAAGTCTATACATATGGTACGATGAATAAGTATAATATGTGTTAGTCAGATTTCAATTGTTTAATTGCGTGACCAACTCAATAAACTGATACTTTTTTGGTTTGGATTTGAATTTTAAAAACCAATCAAATTTGGTTTGGTTTGGTTTTAATAAAAGAATAACCGTAAAAAATCGAACCAAACCGACTATAGAATTAGCTATTTAAAATTTATTATTTCACCTATATATGTTTACTTTTATACAAAGTTTCTAAAATTAATGGTACATGTTAACCGTTTGCACTTTTAGTCTAGTTCTTTGCTATTATAATAATCTAACTCTTTGCCTTTATATTCTAGTTTGATTGGTAGTTTTCTCTTGCTAAGTACAAGAATCTATTTTATGTTAAAAATAATATATTTCTAATTGAGTCCTTAAGTTATTCATCACTATTTGGTGGGTACGAGAAGAGGTAGAGGGAGGCCTAAGAAGTATTGGGGAGAGGTGATCAGGCAGGACATGGTACGACTGCAGATTTCCGAGGACATGGCCCTTGATAAGAAGGTCTAGAGGTCAAGCATTAGGGTTGTAGGTTAGGGGGTAGTAGAGCTTTCCTTACTTCATACCTGGGGTGAGGCGGGGTTGGATTAGGGTTGATCTTAGACGGCTTGCAGTTTATGTTGAGTCCACACTATCCTTGTTGTTTATCTTAGCCCCGGGCCTTAGATACTGGTTACTGTTATTGCATGTCATTTATCTTTTGGTTGTTATGCTTCTGTTACTATTACGGTTTCTACTGGAGTTACTAATGAACTGTCTTTTCTTGTTTTTTATTTCCGTCTTTCTGAGCCGAGGGTCTATCGGAAATAGCCTCTCTGCCCTATCGGGGTAGGGGTAAGGTCTGCGTACACATTACCCTCCCCAGACTCCACTTTGTGGGATTTTACTGGGTAGTTGTTGTTGTTGTTATTGTTATTTGATTCAATTATCATCAATATATCTTGGTAAATGATAGATTTTTCAGAGAGTAATTAGTTTGATAGTCTTACGTTGAAAATGTAGTCGCCGGAATATGTGTTTGGTGAGGAAAGTAGACAAAATTTGAAAAATAAAGTTGTCTTTGTTCTTGGCTACAAAAATTATACTTGGTGACAAGCTTTAATAATCAACTAGTTTCAACCAACAATGGATGAACATCTGATGATAAGGTGGTAGTATTTGTGCTAGTCCATGAGTAGTTAACTTCTGATATCACACTTCTTTCTTCTGTATTACCCTGAATATTTGTAACTGCTGCAGAAGGTACTTGTGATCTTATGGCTTCCAATGCTATGCTTACTTCCTTCATACTTGGCCTCTTCCTACCGTTCAAGTTTAAGCAACGATATGCTATATTAGCAGCTGCCATTATATCCTCCTTTCTACCTTCTTGTGTAACTTCTGCATGGAGAATTGTATCGAGGCGATTTTCATCCATTGCCAAAAGGAAATTTGTTGCTAAACTTCTGCCTTCGTTCGTTGTAGTTGAAATTGCTTTCTTTCCTGTTAATAGTTCAGCAAGAACAACTCCAAAGCTATATACATCGCTCTTTTCTGTAAATTGGCTGGATTGGAAATACTCAGGATCTAAATAGCCAAATGTCCCTTGGACATTGGTTGTTAGGTGTGTTTGATCAATTGCTATAGACCTTGAAGTTCCAAAATCTGATACCTTGGCGCGATATTTCTCATCTAAAAGTATATTGCTAGATTTAATATCCCTATGATAGATTGGAACAGAAGTTGCAGAATGTAGATAAGCTAATGCTCCAGCAACCTCTGTGGCAATTCTCAGATGCGTGCTCCAAGGAAAGGGAAACTCATTATTCTCATTGTGTATGAAGCTGTAAAGTGTGCCATTAATTATAAACTCATATACAAGTAGTGGAACTTCTGTTTCCAAACAACAGCCGAGTAGCTTCACCACATTCCTGTGATTGATCTGTGAAAGTATAACCACCTCGTTGATAAACTGATCCAGCTGGTTTTCGTCTACCAACTTTGACTTTTTCACTGCTACAATATTCCCATCGGGTAACATGCCTTTGTATACCGTGCCTTGACCTCCACAACCAAGTATGCGATTTTCATTGAAGTAATCTGTTGCCTTCTCCAGCTCTTTAGCTGTGAAAAGTTTTGCTTTGTCAATGATCCCTTCATTGGATGATAGCTGCTGTTGTAGTAAGAGGCCACCGTTTCGCTTAAAAAACATTTGTTTCTGTCGTTTGTTCCTTCTCTTCTTGAATGTTTTGTACAATAAATAGCTCCCAAACAGTATAAACAGCACTCCAATACTTAAGAATACACCTGTGGAGATAGGAGTAAGGAGAATTAGCCAATAAGCTAGAATTAAGCAATTTACTCTTGTTTGAAGGGAATTTCGGAGTGTTTCCTATAGACTGAGTTTTTTTTTTCTTGATTTGCAACCACTAAAGTATCGAAATTAGGATGTCTACCATTTTCTGGATGTAGTTTGGACAGTGTCGAGTTTTCAAATGGCCAACAGAAAGTGACTTACTGAGGAGAATGATTGTGGAAGCTGGCTTCTTTGAGTAGTATACAACCTCTGTGCAATTGGTGCATCCTTGAACGGCTGATGACACACGAAACAACGTTAGAATGATATGCATCAGAGAAATAACACTAAATATACGTGCCCTATTGATTTTGACCCTCCCATGCTTTTGTGGAGGTTATGTGAATGAGCTTTTTCCACTTTCAAATCTTAGTTTTCAATTAGGCTCTGAGGTGGAGTGTGACAAAAGGAAAAATTATACAGAATTAACACTCATTATAATGTCAATATAGTTGATTATCTCAACTTGATCCTAGAGTCTTCTGCTGGTGGCAAGGCCTAAATTTGAATCTATGTTGCTCGGACTCTCCAAAAATGTCGCCAGGTGCATGTCGGATCCTCCAAAAATAGTGCATTTTTGGAGGATCCGACACGCGTGCAACATCATTTTGGAGAGCCCGCGCAACATAGATTTGAATATACAAACAAATCACAATGCCTACTGTTGTTTTGTTCTACGATAGTGTTCAATCTAGTCTCCTAAATTATAGTTAGTCTTTTTCTCTAGAAATCTCATTCATCTGATGTGCATATGCAAGATATTGTTCACTGCAACAGAGAACTCATAACTCCACACAAATATCAAATGATTGTGTTTACCTTGGCATCCATTAGAGAAGTATGGATTCCCTTGTGTTCCAGGTCCACAGCGACACTGCAAATTCGCCACAGAAGTACCATTTTCCAAGTTAACAGAAACACCAGATTTGTTGCAAAGCAACCCGGCTTCTAGCTCTTTGGCTTGGACAGTCCAGATCCAAACAACAGGAGCATAACCAAGAAAAGTAAAGGGCTGTGCAACTTCATCAGGAACCCAAGTTTGGTCTACCAAGAAAGCAGCAGAACATCTGGGGTAAAGTCCTTGCTGAATCCCCGAGTTAGTGAAGTTTGCGGTGTACAAGCTAAGATCAAAAGGTACAAGAGATTGGCAACAGTTGATGCCATAGCAGCCTGTCAACGTTGCACCTTCGCTACAGATAGATGTACATCCCGAAAGCACATTTAAGTTCTGTGTCACAAGACCATTACCACAACCAACAAGCATCAACTTGTTCCTGTCTTTCGAATAATAAAAAGGACTTCCAGACAAATCTGTCCCCGTTGTGATGATTCTACTGCCTTGACTCGAACCGTTACAAAAATTTATTATTGAAACTAAGGTAGTAATAGTTTGGTTTTCCAGTGACACAGATATCACTTCACTTTGGAGTTCAACTTGCAGAAATGAATTCAAGTAAGGTTTAGGAGGATTAGTACTTCGATCACACTTGATCAAGAACCATGAATTAAGGGAACAACTGGCACTCAATCCAAATGGAAAAGGAATGGTAAGGTTGCCACAACTCTCTTCACAGCCAGGCTTTGCAAGAGTTGAGGCTGCTATGGATTGATCTAAAACCATAAGCAAAGGAAGAAACAATAACAGATATACAAATTTAAGACTCATTTGGAATTTTTTAATCTGGCCTCTAGAGAGTTAGAATTGGATGAACTTTGTACTTGTAAAACATCAGGCTTTGTACAGGCATATTCTTCTCTTGACAGGTAATATGTCAATTCTGGAATTGAAAATTCACTTGGAAAATACTAATTATATATCTTAGTTGTCTTCTTGGATCAGGTCAAAGAAGATGAAAAGAGTACTCCCATCTGCAGTGGTATCATAAATTTAGAAAAGAACTTGTTGAACAAACATTTGAACTTTGGTAGGGTTCAATATTGCACCAAGACTTGGTCTTTACAAGAATATTTACTTTGAAATTGTTGTAGGCCATATTTGAAAGTGAGTCTTGGAGCAGCGGTAAAGTTATTTTCGTGTGACGTATAAGGTTACGAGTTTGAACAGTGGAAGAATCCACTAATGCTTTCATTAGGGTAGGCAGTCTACATCACACCCCTTGAGGTGCGGCCCTTCCTGAACCCTGCGTGAAACGATGAACGCGGGATGCCTTGTGCACCAGACTGCTTTTTTGTAGGCCACATATCATTTGCTAGCTTAAGTTCAATTTTCGTCCTTGCACTTGTGCAGTTGTCATATTCAACCAATAATTCTTACGCCGGCAATTCTCTATAATTGTCAACTATTTGAAAAGAAGGGAATTAAAAATCTCATAGCTTTTGAGATGCCTTTTGCACTCTTAATTTCTCAATTAAACCTTTCCTGAAACCGTCATTTATTTTTAAATCTTTAGCCGGAATAAGTAACTACTTCCTCCGGTCCAAAATAAGTAATTTTTTGGCCTTTTTTTTATGATCCAAAATAAGTGATTTTTTCAGATTTCAAGAATGAATTAATTATTTTTTTCCTACATTGCCCTTGGAGTAAATTGTGTTAGGAGTATTTATGTGAAGAGATAGTAAAGGTTAATATGGTCTATTTCATTGTTAATTAATGTTAAAAGGTGGATTTCTTAATCTATGTGAAAACAGCTAAAAAAATTACTTATTTTGGACCGGAGGGAGCAGTATAACCCATGTTCTTTAATGCAGGATTGTCTTAAAGCAACTTCCCAAGGTTCGTTATTTCATCAGACCTTATAAAGAATTGAATTAGCTAATTCGACCTTGCTTGAGATTGGTAATTCAGATATGGCATTAAAAAAAATCCATCTTTTTAAATTTTCTTTTCTCTTTCCCCTATAAATGTTCTTGAGAATCAGAAGCCAACGACGGCTTCTTTTGGGAAGGAATTTGTGAGTAGTTAAATATGGAGCTTTTGTTTGGACAACGTCAAACACCGATAGCTTTGACGAATCAGGTCCAATGCCAAAATAATAAAGGAAAATATTTATTTATATAAGTAGTGCTGGAAGTTGGAAAGTGTTTATCGTATTCTATTTTCCTCCTCTTGCTGGATTTATTAACAAGTTATTAGTGCAAAGTTCTTTGGATTTTATTTGCCATGAGGAGAATATAACACCTTACACCTCAATTTTATGCATATAGACAGAGAGCCTCTAGCCAATCATATTCTCACAGCAAAACAGATTTGGAGATTATAAAATGAAAGGACCAAATATTCAAATGAAGGGATAAACCTTTTTAATTTCACATAATTAATTGAAGGAGGAGAAAATGACAAAAGTATTGACTAGTTGATCACGCTCAACTAAGTGGTCGCTAAAATTGTATTCGGTTCAAAAGTTCAAAATCGAATCCCATAAAGAATTGAGGTTTAGCTACAACAGTTCAATATCAATAGGAAGACAAGTTCGAATAACTTTTGAGTAATAAAGACTATAATTTTTGTTTTAAGCTAATTAACTAACAACTATAAGATAAATAAAAATTATACTTTTGCAAGATGAATTATTTAAACAGAAACTTTTTCATTTTTCCCTAAGAAAATCAAATTTTATATTTTTTAACAGAATTAAACAATTTATGAATAAACATAAAATATCAAAAGATAAGTGATAAACTTTGGAGCTTACTTCATGCTCTCTCGCCCTATCTCATGTGGTACTCATTTTCTTTTAGTCAATTTCAAAAAGAATATATTTTTTATTTAAAAATAATTTATCATTAGAATTTTTAGTTTATGAAACGCAGGGAATACTACTAAAAACCGAGCTAAGGCTATATTATGGTCCGGGCACACCCTGGGACCGGCCCAGGACCGCGAGCCCACATGGGCTTTGGGCTAAACGGGTTGGTCCATATGGTCCGGTCCCAAGCGGTCCTAGGAGCCCACTGTGGGCCGGTCCAGCATGGAGAGAACACGAGCCCGGGAACGTTTAGCCCGAGACCGGTTGGCGGGCCTGAGCCGGTTCAACCGGGCCCAACGGCTATTTTTCAAAAAAAAAAAAAATTTAAAATTGGCCAACGGTTGGAAGTTTAAAAACTAGCCGTTGGCCTGCCAATTTAGCCGTTTGGCTTTTTAAAAAATAGCCATTTGCCCCTCAAACTTTGTTTTAACCCCAAAATTTTTATAATTGCACTTTTTCTCTATTTTCAACTATAAATACCCCTTCATTCTTTCATTTTTACTCATAAAATCATCAATCTCTCTCAAGGATGGCTCGAGATATTTTAAGTATTCAAGCTTCAACAGTGGCATCGGAGAGCGCTTTCAGTCAAGCGAGACTTCAAATCGGTGATCATAGAGCGTCTATGAGGGAGAGCTTGGAAAAATCAGTACTCTTCAGAGATTGGATCCGCTCGGAAAGAAGAAATTTTGGACTTGCTGAATCACAACCGGAGATAGACGAAGCTTATGAAGAAATGCTAGTGGAACTTGCGGAGGATGCCGCTTCGCCCGGAAGCGGTGATGAACAAGCTTCTTTTCCGCCACCACCAACGGAAATTCCTCCGAACCTTGAAGGATTTATGAAATTTGTTAGAGATAATATGTAGACTAATATATAACTTGTATTTTGGCACATCTTCATTAGTTTTTTTTCCTTTTAATGGTGGTATTAGCTAGGGGTGTTCAAACCGAACCGGAAAACCGCACCAAACCGAAAAACCAAACCAAACCGATTAAAAAACCCGACTAGGTTTAGTTTGACTTGGTTTGGTATTGAGTAAAAAAAAATCGAACCAAACCGACATATAAATATATAAAGTTTATTTATATTTTTAAGAGTTTACAGTGATTTTTCTTTAGAAAATGTAGAAATATTTGAGATCCTCTCACGTATTAACCCTGAAAGCGGAAATTAACGAAAAAATATTGTTAGATGACTAAGAAAATAACTATCATGTGTTACTAAAAAAATTCTCCCAATAGAATATTTTAATAGATCATATGTTTGTCAATTTTTTTCCATATTTACTAAGCATATATTCACTTATCAAAGTTTTATCTATAATTTTAACAAAGTAAGATTGAAATAATATTCATGTAATAAAAAAACCCGAAAAACCCGACCAAACCAAACCAATCCAAACCGATATAGTTGGTTTGGTTTGGTTTTGGTAAAAACCGAACCAACCCGGTCCATGTACACCCCTAGTATTAGCACCTTCTTATGCTCATTCCATTGGGGGGAGGAAGACTAAGAAAGATATTGCCATATTTTGTTGTAATAATAAAAATTATAAGGCATTCCCTTGAATATTTCTTTACAATTTTTTTGTGTTTAAATTTGAATTAGAAGATTTAAGTCACAATTATATAATATAATTTACAAGAAATTACCTTAGATAAAAAAAATTCAAAAAAAAAATAGCCCGGAACACTTAGGCCTGTGGGCCCGGCCCATTTAGCCCAGGACCATGTGGGCTTAGACCCACAGTGGGCTGGTTCCACCCTCCAGGACTGTTAAGCCCGGGACCGTTTAGCCCGAGACTGCTTGGGCCCGGCCCGCCAGAGCCCGGGACCGTTTTGTCCGGCCCGTTTAGCACATTTAGGATCGGAACCGGACCACAATACAGCCTTAAACCGAGCTCGCCGCTAGCTCAAGGAAATTTATAGAATTTCAAAATAAGCATCCTCTTTCTCATCGCATAGAAATGAAAAGTTGCACACAAATTAAGGAACCTTTAGGCTAATGAATGCATTCCACTTTCTCATACAAAGTAACATGTTCCTCTTTAATTCTTCGAAAATAATAAATAAAACTAGGAATGTTATAAAATATTTAGTAAATGTGGATGTCCACTACTCCCACTACTTTTACCCATGATGTAAATAACCTCCCACTACTCATCACCATTATGATTGTAACTCCCACACCTCCATAACCTCACCCCATGATCTCAATTGTTAATGTTATGTTTAAGACAATCATTTTGTAACCTTCATATGTAATAATATAAATAGAGGCATGAAATGTGAGATAGAATACACTTGAACACTTGATAATAATAAATGAACAAATCTAATAAATAAAAAGGATACTCTCCTCCAATGCAAGTTATATACATGTGAGGTGTTTTATTTTTTACCTCGATCATGCTCAAGCTCTTTGATCACATGTTTCATTTCAACTTGCATTAATTTGCATAGCTTGAATATTACTCTATTAGATCTTTTAAAGAAAATTACTAACTAAAATAAAATTTTGATGTACGGTTTGGAGTCGCCAAGAATATCATTAATTGCCAATATAATGAACCAAAGTGAGATCAAACTAGTGTAAGCTATCATCGTTTGAAAAATCAGTAGGAGCTTAGCTCAATTAGCAATGGAAACCATTATCCTCTCTAAGGAAAAAGTGAAGCCATCCAAACCAACACCTCCACACCTAAAAAACCACAAACTATGCTTTTTAGACCAAATTCAACCGCCAACAAGAATCAAAATTGTCCTCTTCTACGAAAATACCACACTCGCACAAAATCAAAATATCCTCAAGAATGCCCTTTCAGAGACACTAACTCTGTTTTATCCACTTGCTGGTGAACTAAAAGAAGGTTCAACTTTTGTAGACTGCAATGACACTGGAGTTGCTTACGTGGAGGCTCAAGCGAAGACGCATCTTAGTCATTTTCTTGAGAACCCTGATCTCTCACAACTCAAGAAACTGATGATAGATGTTGAATGTCATTTAGTTTCTTTTCAGGTTACTAGATTTGACTGTGGAGGGATGGCGATCGGGGCAAGCATGTTTCATTTAGTCTCAGATGCAAACACAATGAGTTCTTTTCTCAAAACTTGGGCTAATATTGCACGAGAGAGGATCATGCCATTGGCTTCTCTTGATTTCACATCATCATCGCTACTCTTTCCCCCTCAGAACCATTTGCCACAAGAGTTATCGGCATTTCTCAAAACTTTATTTTTCAAGGAGGGTGATCAGTTTCTCCAAAGAAGATTTGTCTTTGATTCTAAAGCAATTGCAGCCATCAAAATGAAATCTGGATCTAATAGTAATGTGCCTAAGCCGACGCGTGTGGAGGCGTTGACAGCTTTCATATGGAAGCATATGATGTTAGCAAGTGAAGCAGTAAAGGGAAGCTCAAGTCCCAGCTGCATGCTAAATCATGCTGTGAACTTAAGGCCGAGGCTGCATCCACCATTGCCTAATGCTTTTGGGAATGTAGTTTGGTTTGCAACTACATTTTACGAGTCAGAAATAACAACGAGTGATAATATTGATCTGTCTCATCTTGTGGGATTAGTGAGAGAAGTGTTTGAGACCTTTTCAAATGGTGAAAACTTGAAGGAACTGGAAGGTGATGCGTCTTTTACTTATCTAGTGAATTTGGCCACAGATACTATTAACTCTTTTGACAAAGTAGATAACTATATGTTCACAAGCTGGTGTCGTTTTGGACTTGACGAAGTTGATTTTGGATGGGGAAAACCTATTTGGGTGGCTCCTCTCTTTGATCCTACTTGTTCATTGGGACATGTCCAAATTGTTATTCTTGTGGAAAGTGGACGGAGTAGTGATGGAATTGAGGCCTGGATCCTGAGAAATAAGGAGGAAATTCTTGAGTTGGAGAATGATGAGGAACTTCTGCAATATGCATCTCCAAATCCTAGCATCCGTATCCCTTAAATATTGTTCTTTTCTTTCACAGCATGCCCCTTGAATTGTTCTCCCAACTTTGAAGTTAATTTATTTCTTGTTATTAATAATATGAAATAACTTCTCTTTGTGTTAATCCGAACATGTCCAGTTTAATATAGCACGTAGTACGTAGTTTTAATTTTTCTTTATTGGTTCCCTTACTAAAGGAGATAACTCCATTTACTAAACTACCTCATTAATTAAGTAAAAGAGTTTAATGTTAGAAAGGGTTAAATTATAATCTTTTTACATTAATAATAAATAAATGAAAAATAAACGTAAAGCCAAACCTGAGGGATGAACTCTGAAATTAACACTTTACTTTAACACCATAAAATCAAAAGTCCTCTTTACATTTGTAAATTTCGTGCTCCGCCGATCTAAGACATAAAATGCAATCAAGAGTGAGTGATATATTTCATTATGAATAATTGAATTCCAGTAAATAATATGTCGGCAAAATGCGCTTGATCAACAAAATTGATAGGATTCATAATAACGCAAAATCTCTCCATGATAAATGGACCCCGCAAAAGGAGGCCTCATTCACCCAAAAGAAAAATGCAAAACAGAAAAGTAAAAATAAAAGCAAACATAAAGCCAAAAAAAGATAGTGCTAATACGTACTAAATTAAACGCGGGAGATAGCAACCGTATGAAAGCACAGAAAGAAGAAAAAGTCCAAAAGTTGAGAGTGAGTATGGCGATCTTGAAAAAGTGCAGCAGCAGAATATGACAAAATAATAAGTACCACACTTGGCAAGATCAAGATGTATTTTCCGTGTTAATCTCCAAGTTTCGAAGAACCTGTGGATGGGACCATTAAACATTGACATGTAAATGAGAAATTTCTTTGTAACTTTTCAGTTGACTGACTTTGACAACATGCTAAGAAGAAGTTTCAATGAAATTTTCAGTTGACATGAGCTGCATCATGACTTAAAAGACCTCAACTGACTTGTGAGGAAGTCAACAACTTCAAGTTCCAAGTGAAGAACAAAAGATAAGCAACAAAATTCTACTTCAAATCCTCAAAGTGTATGTAGAGTTTTAACATGGAAAACATCCGAAAACTACAACTGGAACGTACACTTTCAATTCCAACATGTTTCCCGCAGAGAAATTCAGTACCAAGCACTACAGCAACATCAGAAGGGGTATCTTTGAGAAACAGCAGCTTCAATACAAGCAGCTCTACTCCGCAGCATGCTGTTGCAATTCAATTAAATCAGGGAATTGGTCAAGCTGATTCTACAGTGCTGCCTTCTCCCATTCAAAGGGAAGCTGTCTCTAGGCCTATTGCTCCTGCTCCTCAGACACTTCCCACTTCCTTCCTCAGGCCCAGTTAAGCAAAAAATATTTCTCAATGCTTTTAATTTCTATATATGCTTTGTTTTTGTATAATGGGGTGAACCTGGGAAAGGTAAAGGTTAGTCACGAAGTCAGATTATGGACGTGCTCTAGAATATATGTTAGGATTTAACTTACACACATTCACATTGTAAATATTTTTTGCACTATTAGTGCACTTTAACCTGTTGTAATAGGCTATTACCAGCTTCCTTTTCCAGGTTATTAATACTAGTTATCTACTTATCTTTTTACGCTGCCAGTATCTAGAAGTTAAACCATGTTATATCTTCTCCAAGAGTATAGAATTTACCCTATCCTACGGCATATTGAACATAGACCCCAGCCTATCCCTTATGTGAGTCTATCCTACACCACTCTATGCTACCCGGTTAGGCCCGAACATTTGGGTCAGTTCAAATATCACCTAATCCACTTGCTCTCATACAAAAAGTATGTTGAACAAGCTACAAAAACCATATCTAGATAAATCAAAAACAAAGTAACAAGCATCAATTTTCGCCAATATCTATCAGCTGAAACAACAGACAGATATGGTGAGTTCTCAGGAAATGGACAATCAGATATACTTAACTGAACCATGAACATGGATAATCATCTATAAGAGAGAAAGCTTGTAAGAGAACTTCACAAAGAGCCTCCTTTATGAAACAAGATACAACCAATGAGAGCGGGAAAGAGTAGATACTCATCTTTATTTTTTCACATGATTAATTAACAGAGTAAAGTCACACCACTTGCAGGGACTAAACCTATAAACCTTACCATGTATGTGCCACTTTGCCAAGCAGCACTAGGAGGTGATTGGGAGAAGGCTAGAGAATTTTTCAGTCTGCACCCTGGTGCAACATCTGCCAGGATTACCAAAGGGTGGGAGACTGCTCTTCATATTGCAGCCGGGGCTAACAAGGTTCAGTTTGTTGAAGAACTGGTTAAACTTATGAGTCCACTGGAACTGGCATTGCAAAACAAATATGATAATACTGCACTTTGCTTTGCTGCTGCATCTGGACTCACAAGGATCGCAAAAGTTATGGTAATGAAAAATCAATTCTTGCCGATAGTGAGGGGCAGCAAGGGAGTCACACCACTGCACATGGCTGCTCTACTAGGGCACGGAGAGATGGTGTGGTATCTTTATTCAGTGACAGATCATCAGTATCTATGCAAAGACGACTATATCAGCCTGCTGATTGCTACTATAAACTCCAATCTATTTGGTAAGAACATATTCTGGTTCCAAATTGCTTTTCGGATGAGAACTTGATAAATTTAATATGGCCAGTTACTTGTTTCGATAAATTAGTGTGGCCATTTATGTTATTGCACAACCAACGTAAAGTTGAACTCTCAGAGGAACTTAAAACAACTATTTACTTACATCGCTGTTAACAGATGTTGCTTTACATATACTTCAGCACATGCCTGAATTAGGCATTGAACGAGATCAAAATGGAGACACAATACTTCATGTTTTAGCACGAAAGCCCTTGGCATTTTCTGACAAAATTGGACTTGGAATCTGGCAAAAATTTCTTTACGCATGTAAGTTCTCCATTTCTATCCAAATCGAAATGAATTAAGATATATATTTATACATATCATTAGATCAATGGAACATCCTGCCTGTTCCGGTGTTCCCAAAAAAAAATTTAATGGAACTTCCTGTAGATATCTCTGTTCATTTGCAGAATAGATCAAGCAACATGTCCAGCGGATCAAGGATAAAAAATAACACTAAGGGTGTGTTGTATACTTGTCCCAGTTGAGACATTTATCTTCTCTGTAATAGCATTTCTATAACCAACTGATCCCAAACATTTGTGAAGTTGCAGCTTACGCGTTCATCACAAGGGTAGTTCAGCATCTACTAAAAACAATAGGTATGCACATATGACGTGGTCCCAAGTTCTAGATTATTATTCTCTGTACCTGTAAAACTAAATACCTAATCTGCAATTTTTCAACACTAGGAGTCAAAGAAGTTCTGGAGACAAAATTAATGCACTTACAAGCACTTGAATTGGTAAAATGTTCATGGAAAGAAGTTCTCTTGTTGAATGATTCACAAATAGGAAACTTACTCAGAAGTCCGTCGCGGCCATTGTTTGTAGCAGCAGAGTTGGGAAATTTTAAGTTCATAGTTGAGCTTATTCAGTCTTATCCAGATCTCATTTGGAAGGTTGATGAGGAAAGCCGGAGCATCTTTCACATTGCAGTCATTCACCGCCAAGAAAAGATCTACAAACTTATCTACAACATAGGAGCACACAAGGATATAATTACGTCCTATAAAAGTAGAAATAATGAGAACATTTTACACTTGGCAGCAAAGTTGGCTCCTACAAATCGACTTGGTATTGTTTCAGGTGCAGCACTCCAGATGCAGCGGGAGTTATTGTGGTTTAAGGTAATTTCCACATCTGGTGAAATGCTGCTTCCCTATCAAGTATACTCTCTTTCTATATTTCATAAGATATTACTTCTCATTTCCAAAGGAAGTTAAGACAATTGTTCAAGCCTCATATAAGGAGATGAGAGACTCAAAAGGTCAAACACATGGAATGTTGTTCGCTGAAGAACACAAGGAATTGGTCAAAGAAGGAGAGAAGTGGATGAAGGAAACTGCATCATCTTGCATGCTTGTTGCTGCACTAATTACAACAGTAATTTTTGCAGCAATCTTTACCGTGCCAGGAGGGAACAACGATGATACAGGCACCCCCATTTTTCTTAGAGAGAAAACATTCATTCTTTTCTCTATAACGGATGCACTGGCACTGTTTTCTTCGGTAACCTCAATATTGATGTTCTTGTCCATCCTCACTTCACGCTATGCCGAAGAAGACTTCCTGAGTACTTTACCAAAAAGGTTAATCCTTGGCTTCATCACGCTCTTTGTTGCTATAGCAGCGATGCTAGTAGCATTTAGTTCAAGTTTTTTCATCGTACTTGGGCATCAAATGGCCTGGATTATCATCCCAGTGGCAGTACTTGCTAGTATTCCCATAACTTTATTTGCATTTCTGCAATTTCCTCTCTTGGCTGATATGATCAGATCTACCTATGGCTCAGGAATATTCACTTTTACAAGTAAGGATACAATTTATTGATTTTTTACAAGTTCACAGGTGCAAAAGCTCCAAAATATAATTTTTCATCTTTTTTATGAAAGAGTACCTTGAAATTGGAAAGGTTCCAGGTACTTGCAATAAAAGCAATTCTGTATCATTCCAGTTAAGCCCATGAACTTTGCCCTTCCAGACTTTCCCAGTCCAGCCATTTGGAAGAAGAAAAAAAATCCTCCAATAGCAGGAATAATAAAGCAAGTCTTGCCTCATTTCTAAATCTTAAATAAATGGACGGACTAGCTGAGAATTTTAGGAAAAGCTCCGTAAATCCCTATGCATTTGCACAAATTACTAAATACAAAAAATAACAGCCACTATAATGTAATATTTTCAAAATCTGAAGAGTACAAACTGACCTTGAATCCGATAAGAGAGACCTCCTCGCCGGAGCTATATTAACCTTGTCGGAAATTCTCCCAAATGAACTACTCGGCGAGCTCAATAACTCACTCTCCGAGCCCGTAAAACCGGAATATACCAGTATCACCCATTGCCGTTTCATCGACTAAATTTAACCTGAGAAGGACTAATCGGAAATTGATCGCCGATTTCTTCCACGGTAATTTTTTCCCTTTTTAGGGTGGCGGCTTGGAGGTAAATAAACGCGGGAGTATTTGAGATTGAGGTAACTTTAGAAAGTAAATTCTAGTTAGCCCCTTATATTTTTGAGGTAAATAAACGCGGGAGTATTTGAGATTGAGGTAACTTTAGAAAACCCTCTTAACCCAAGTGACGAAATCTTCAAAAACTCAAAAATGACCCTCGATACCACCGAAGGATCTTGTTATCCTTAATTGTAAGTTTTGGATTCGAGTTTCAAAATAAAATTATCTTTGTTAGGGAGCCGGGAGGCCGGATTAATTAAGCCCCAATAGGAATTACGAATGAAAAAGATAATAGCTTGTGTGGACGATTGTTATATATACTTTCATAATGTATTGTATTATTTTGATGTATACGATGTTTGGATATATTATATTGTTTGTCGTCATTTTATGATATCCTGTACCAATAATTTGAAGGATAAACTTACAATGTTATTTTTTAAAAATAAAGTACGAGTTATTATTATTATGTAAAAAGGTAGGATAAAGGATAAAATAGGATTATCTATATTATTATTAAACAAAAATAATTTATGTTAAATATTAAACGACTAAAATATCCTTCTAACTTTGATTGACTTTTATACCCTTAAATATTTAAGTTAAAGGTGGATATAATTGTAATATTTAAAATATTACCCTAAGATGGAATTCTTTCCCAATTTAAACTCTACATACACCGCGTGTAAATTCCTACTCTACTAATATTGAGAACTGCTATTCCAACTAAAAAGTGGTAACGTTGGAAATATTTATATGAATTTGATTTTGAACAAACTTCTAAGTTCCAACTTTTTCATCCGTATGAGTTTTTTTAATTAATTATTTTTGTAATGTATAGAGATAAGACTTAATTATTTTCTTACTATTTAGCAATAGTCATTTAATTGCTTTTCTAATATTCAGAACTTTAAAATTAACTAAAATTTTAGTTATTAACTATTTTCCTTTTTGAAAATCCTAGGAAATCCTAATATTTAGGACTAAAATCAATTAAATATATTTAGAGACTTATTTGACGTCAGCTAGAAGAAGAATAAGACAACTAATTCCAATTTAATTCAGTTTCAAATTACAATTGTGATACTTCTTCCTATCAAATTCGAAAGACGAATTTCACGTGATTGTTGGGTTCTAATTACGCAATAGATATAAAGCAAATAGAGATTTAACACTATAAGTACGTTACCCAAAAAAGAACTATGTATAAGAGTAAATTATAATAATTTAAAGATATAATTTAAAGAATTTGAAGTCAAGTATGATTTTTTCGTTTTTATGTTTCTAGAATATTTGACCTTGCCAATAGAGATATTATATTGGACAAAATTAAAATTTAATTTTTTTTAATATTTAGAACTTTTAAATCAATTAAATTTTTGTTATTAAATATTTACTTATTTGAACTATGTAGGAAGTTCAGATATATGGGACTTTAAATTCATTAAGATTTGACCTTATATAAATTATTTTTATATTTTAATTATGTAACATAACTATAATACTTTTCATATTATTTTATGTAATCTTTAGTACTTTAAAGTCAATTTTTATGTAAGAGAAGATATATTCATTATGAAATTTAGAGACAATTATTAGATTGTATAAAGAATTAAAAAAAATATTTCTATAATTCTAGGTAAATTAAAAAAAAAGGTTAAAAAATATTCTCAAAGTTTCAGACGTACATAAATTGAAAAGTAAGCCAAATAATAATAGAATTCTAACGTAAATAACTCTAGGATTCTATGATTTCTTTTAGGAATTTTAGGAATGTATTAATTACCTTTTTCAGTCAATTGCTTCGTAAAAGGTTTCATATCTGCTTGACAATGGCACGTTTTGTTTGGAATGTGTTTTGGTGTTGTATTCAAAAAAATAATTTTCATCCTAGGATTTGGTTCTTTTATACCATCTACGCGGTAAGTACTCGAAAAATCTTATTTCGACGAACCTCCACACCAATGTGTATTGGTGTAAGACACTACTTTCTACCCAACTTAGTATTACGGAGAAAAAAATTCTTTCACATGGTCATTATCCCCCTCCCCTCCTAGATTATGTAAACAAAATACAAAAATTCTATTGAGAGATTAATATATCTTTCACACATCAGTTGCATGAAAGACGATGCTTTTGTTTTGTATCTCAAAAAATTAATTTCAAATTCTTTCATAAATAATTGACTTAAGAATCTCGTGCAACGCACGAACGTAGAAACTAGTATTATATTAAAAGTGGGAAGCCCATAATTAAAAAGTCAAATTACATAACTTCCCTTCTAAAAAATCTAAATACCCTATTTCATAAATTATTTAATAATGTAATAAAACATCATTTAAAATAAACGTAAAAAACTGAATTAATTTAAGTGTCTTTTCTTAAAAGTTGTGTTTGTTATTACTAATAACTAAGCCTTTCAAAATTAGTTTTAACCATTGGCTTTGAAAATGCCTTATTTAGCCGTTGCCTTAAGAGGTAAAAAGAATTTGCATCTTTAAATGCTCGTCTCTGTCGTGGTGTAGAAGTCCTACCGGAGAAGAAGCCAATTAAAGAACTACTCCAAAGAATTTACCTTCATCTGATTAGATAATTCGATAAAAAATAATTACTTTGGAGTAAGAAGTTTAATTGGTTGAACAGTGGGATCTATTACACCAACTACCCACAATTAAGTTCACATGTAGTGTTGATTCTGTTTCGAGGTCAGTGGGAAGCCCAAATCAGAAAGTTAAATTATCATTATACCCCTTTTAAATATTTCATATTTTATAATAATAATTAAAGAACTATATGAAAATATACATTTATATTTATATTTATATTGTGCCTTTTCTAAATAGTTGTGTTCTTTCATTACTAAACAATTTTTAAGAAAAACTATTTTGCCGTTAGAAAAGAACCATTGCTTTTCCAAAATAATACCTGTAGGGCTTGCTTCTCAACCAATACACCTGTTAAATTATATTATCTCTTTGCAAACAAATTGGAAGAACAGAAGCGCAACTTTCCAGTACATGAAGACATGGAAAAATTGATGAAGATGACATTTTGTCATATACTTATGGCTGCTTATGGAACCTATAATGCTACTCAGACAATTATTTTGCTTTTAGCAAAAAAGAAAGTCAGTATCAGGGATTAGCCCGGTTTACATCTAATTATTATTATTGTGAATTTTACCTTGTAATTTTATCTTGATTTGAGAAAAGGATAGAGATCCATGTGGATTGTATTTCACGTATTAACTGTATGTCCTTCCTCTAGAGATTTTACATTATGACGTAACTATCTGGAAAAATGCATGGTTGACATATTCAGTTGCATCAAAGACAAAGTGCTTTAATACATCTAATCATCCAATTTTCTCAAGGAATGCACATGTTAGAGTATAAATTATATATTCTTAATTTTTCTTGAAAAAATCCTGAACAAGATCTTCCAAGTCAAAAGGATTACTGGTTGAGAACTTTATGCGCTGAAATTCTACATACTAATTAGAGGCGGAGCCAGGATTTCAAGCTTATGGGTTCAGGATTCTAATCATTTGAAGTTACTGGGTTCTAAATTAATAATATATACGTATTCAATAAAAAATTTAAGATAAATACAGGGTTCAAACCAAAGCTACTGGGTTCGACCTAACCCGTTCCGGTCACTCTAGCTCCGCCCTTGATACTATTTACATATGCATATTAGTCTACTTATCTTCTTTTACATGTGGAGGTTTAACCGGTTTGGTGAAGATAAAACACTAAAATGAAGGACTAGCAGTAGTTTTTATTGTCGATACTATATGGTCAAAGTTATTGAATAAGGAAGAAGATAGTCTTAACACTTATCATTTTTTACTCGCTGATACATTTGGTGTGTTCTTTAACCTTTTAAATATTTATTTATTTATTAATTGTGATAACACTTAAGGAGAGGCTAATGGTTGAGAAGGTATTGAAAATGCAACACACGAAAAGGTTCCTTGAGATTAGAGCAATTTTGATTATCGAGATAATCAAAGAGACAACGTCAAGGCGATGATGCAAAATTTGGAGAGCTAGAACATATTTGATGTTGTTATACTTTCTTAACTTTATTTATTACTTGTCTCTCTATTACTAGCCTATTATTTTTTTATGAAGTCTTACATTATGTGAATGATAGGGTAAACATCTCATAAAAGCGATTACCACAAAATATATATATCATGTATGCACCAATATATTAATTATTATTTAAAATAACATATTTAATGGTTATATTTGTTACTATTTAAAAAATGCAAACAATTAGTTGGCATATAGATATGTCACATACATGAGATTATGTGAATTTTAATTTCAAGAAGTACAGTGACATGGCGTATATTATTTGAGAAGAGTTATCGCTATTACTTAAAAGTTGTTCTATTGTTTTAATATCATGACATAAAAAGATATTCTTATTTAGACATTATTTTAAGTTTCATTAAAGGTTGAAGACCTTTAATAAATTTGATGTTGTTCTTGTGATGAATAACATTATATATCCTTAATTATCAGATTTCAAGTTTAAGTATATCATGAATATTACTTTATCATCTTAGATGTATTCTTTATGTTATGTTGAAGTATACATATGATCAAGCCATACAGGTATTACCTTGTGAGTTATATATATTAGTATTAATTTTGTGAGTTTATGCTTCTACATGGTTAACATATACATTTATTGAAATTCATGAATTGGTTTATAAAATGTGGAGTTATAGTACATGTGCATGAATTATTTGCAACCCCAACAACAATATTTATATTTACAAGAGTATAATTGAGCTTATAAAGTTACGTGTTATATAGTATAAAATATTTGAGATTAATGTTTATATTCGAGTAATTTGATATAAGAATATCAAGCTTTAGTATGAGGGAGCATATGATCGTACTTTTGTATTGGTTGGACTATATGAGAAAAATGATTTTTAACTAGGTGAAAAAAGAAGGTGAAATGAATTTAGTTGATTGTGTATAACAACAAACTATAATAATGACCGGAGTAGAAAAGAATACTACTAAAAGACGTCTCTTTCTCATTAGATTT